ACTATTTGCAAGTAGTCGATAACATTGTAGGTCCATTTTATTGTTGTTCTTTCTACGCGCCGTTATAACACATGTTCATCTCATCATTTAATTTCTGTTGTGCATATATTGTTGTATGTTTATTACAAAAAATGGCGCAATAATCATTAATTGTCAATTTCGTCGTTATATACTAAATAAAGTACAAAATAAATAGCGCCATTCAATTTCTTGTAAAAAAACTGGTTATTATATGCTAATTTTGAAAGTATCAAATTGAATTTTTGTTCAATAAAAATCTTTCAAATGCGACTGTAGCTTTTTTCCCCCAAAACTTTGTCTTCAAAATAAGGGTGCGTCTTATATTTCAAAAAATATGGTATACACTGAGAGCAGTATTTGATATTTAAGGACAATTTATGTGATGTTTTGGCTAAACGATCAATTTAAAGGTCAGTCCTTAATTTGGAACTGCTGACCAGGCAATGGATAACCAGCAAGCAGCAGTTACTATCTGTCCGGCTAATCTTAGCCGAATATCGAGATTTATTGTCATAGTTATAACGTCCTCTACAACAGAAAGGCTCACTTACTTTCATACGATAAACTGTTTGTTAATCTCAAACTGAATTTCATTTATGGAGTTTATATGTTAATTAACAATGAAAACTTTATTCGACATAAGATGTTTAGAGGACTTCTCTGCTGTAAAAATTATTACAAGTGTTGTTCTTCTGCTGTATTGTAACTAAGAACAACACTTGTAATAATCGAAGAGCTGTAATAAATACTAGTTACAATACAGCAGAAAGTTACAATACAGCAGAAGAACAACACTTGTAATAATCGGAGAGCTGTAGTATTACAGCTCTTCAATAATCACAAGTGTTGTTCTTCTGCTGTATTGTAACTAGTATTACAGCTCTTCGATTATTACAAGTGTTGTTCAATACTAGTTACAATACAGCAGAAACAGCACTTCGATTATGACAAGTGTTGTTCTGCTGTATTGTAACTAGTACTACAGCTCTTCGATTATGACAAGTGTTGTTCTGCTGTATTGTAACTAGTATTACAGCTCTTCGATTATGACAAGTGTTGTTCTTCTGCTGTATTGTAACTAGTATTACAGCTCTTCGATTATGACAAGTGTTGTTCTTCTGCTGTATCGTAACTAGTATTACAGCTCGTCGATTATGACAAGTGTTGTTCTTCTGCTGTATTGTAACTAGTATTACAGCTCCTCTAGTTGTAATAGTACTAAAATTCTAATTGTCAGCAGCAAGCTGGGTCTAAGCCTTTGTTTTTAAGTGTAACATTTCTTATTAATATTTAAAAATGTTTAATTGTTTCATTTCAATAATCTTAAGCCAAACTTTATGTAAAGGGTTATTATAGATATATTAGTTTTCACGGAATAAAAGTACAGTATAAGTGAATGTATATAACGAACTCGCACAATTTTGGAATTTAAATATAGTTAATGAGAAACTAGTATTTTTATCTAGATATAGCAATATGTTAATAAAAAAATTAGACTTTAGGCGTTTTGTTGAGATTTCTAGCATATTTCGTTTCAGTGAATAATTTGAAAAATTAAGTAGTGAGTTAGTTAGTAAGTTCAAGTTTTATGAGTTTTCAAGATTGCGTTCTAGATCAACTCCCTTGAAACTAGAATGCTGAAGATCAAAAGGATAACAGTCATCACTCGTCGAAACCGGTGAAACCAGTTCCAACCAAATAGGTTTCCGCGAAATGAGCTGTTTTGTAATCAAAATACAGTTCATTTCATTTCTAGAGGGTGTCGTATTAATATTTCTCTGTATCAGTATGACGTTCATAAGGTGCATCAGTTCACTTTCTGTATTGCCTTGTGATGCCTTACAAGTCATTAACTTTAATTAGGCTGGAGATGATGTTTAATAAAATATTTGTTTACTGTATAATTCCGACAGTTCTATTAGAAATTATTAATTAATAACATTTTGTGTTTAATCGAAAAGATATTTTTTTTTAATTTTCGTCACAAGATCATCTAATAACAATTAAACGTTAAATTTTGTCTCTATCACTTCCAATAGACACTTTTATATTTTGATGCTGAACCATTTTGAATAATATTTTTAATCACATTCTACTGACGATATTATTAAAGAATGCGAAGATAATCAGGCGTATCTTACCTCTTTATTAATTTGTTATGATTACACTTTAAACCGAAGGTATTATACTTTAATTATAACGTTTGTCTTAGTCAACAAACTGTCATTCTATTTAAGCTTGACTTACTGACTATCATTAAGTGTTGTTAGTGCTAAAAATGAATTCTAGAAAATTTTAGGTATATATTTGGCTCTCGGGGGAGCTATAAAAAAGGGCATTATTTTCTATGGGCATTAGCTGGATTCCAGAAAATATGAGGTGTGTTTCTTTTCACTCTCAGAGGAACTATAGAAAATGTCACTTTGTTTTATCGATCCAAGAAGATCTAAATAAAGATTAACCTGTTTAAATGAGTACAGTGCTGATAATAATGACTAACTTGAATATCTGAGACAATCTTAAGACTGATATGATAGTCTATATCTCTTGTAACTTCTTGTTTCATATCAATAATGAGTACTGCTAGTTTACTGTAATAACCACTGAGCAAGGACTTATATGTATTACTCATTATATTTTAAGTTCTGTTTGAAAACAAAAATGTTATTTCGTTAATTTTTATAACGTTTTCCTTGTGCATAGTGAATACATTTTGAGTATGAATAACCTCATAACTATTTATCAAATTAAGTTATTTTTTAAATATAGTGAGATACGCCTGTAGCAATAATGATTTTATTAACTATCAAAATTCGCTAATGCATCTTAATGTTAACTTCCAATCAGAGCAAACTAACATAGGAATCAATATAGCTAATTAAACATACTTTCCTAATTTCATGCTTAGAATGTATTGTTTCATCAGTTGGACATTGTTGTTGTTAACGATGTTTTCGGCCATAATCCCAATAATATCTCAGGAGATTCGGCCATCTTAGGATGCAAAATATTCTCTATAATAAAAGTATAATAATAATAATAAATTAACAAGTAATAACTTTATATATATATATTTATGCGTGTATCTTTAAAGAGCAACCAATACTGTTAATAAAAGATAAAATAAATAAATAATATAGTATACTTTTGGATTTTATTAATATATATAATTGTGTAACATTATGATAAAAACCATATTTGAGTTTATGCTTCATAAGTCAAAAGGTAGCAAGTAAGAACTACCTGGTTCGTTGAAAAGAAATATAAAAGTTTAAAATAGAAATTAAAAACATTTAATTTGTCTTTCCCTTCAGGAAACGAACAATCTACTGTATAAATCAAGGTGTGTGTCCGGGAAAAAATAACGTTTCCACATTTCTTGATCAATCAGCAGCAAACTTCACACAGTGAAACAGGGCGACATGAGGGTGTTTGGGGTTGACCCCCCTCATATTCTATATAAATAAACATCAATATGTGTGCGTGTACTTGTTCCTTACACGTTTCCACATTTCTTGATCAATCAACATCAAACTTGACACAGTGATACAGGATGACATGAGGAAGGTCATGAGGGGGGTGGATCCCCCATCTAATTTCATACTGATAGAATTCTTAAAAACAGTATGTCTTTCTTTTGAGTATTGGCACCTTTGTGTATTTTTTGCACTTTTAATATTTATTATGTTAAGAAACAAAATAGAAGCACAGTTTCCTACCCTTTGTTATTTCACCAGTCCAATGGATTGGTACTCCAGCTAGCTATAATATAAACTTTCTAATTATCATTTTACAAACTTTTTGTTATTGTAACTTCAAATCCGAAGTATAAAGAAGATTTTTATTACGCAGGTAGACTTCACAATTTTTTCTTTAATGAGGACTGTTAACATCAACGTTCACAAACTCTTTCAATCAATAATAGTGTTTTAGGGTTAAAACCTCGTGCAGTATGTCAAATTTCTTAAGAAACGCGCAGCAATCTTTCTAAAAAAAAACAACAACAACAATAAAACTAGAACGCATCAAATCAACTATAATAATTTTTATTAAAGGTGTTTTGTGTGTGTTTATCTTGTAGAAATGTTCCGACCAAAAGGTTTCCAACAAAACCATTTATAAAACGTTTGCTCGAACACTGCCCCCAAGTTCGAAAGTCTCCAAATCGGTGATTTCTCTATTAAAACACTTCAGTTGGGACAAAGTGGTGTTGGTGGTGTCTGAGAATCATTGGGACAAACAAGTTGAAGAAGCTTTGCTGATTCGGGCTGAAGAAGAGAGTATACAAATCACCAACACCTTCTACATACCAGGTTTTTACATCAGCGGAAGTCACAACGAAAATATCAAACAAATCATCCATGAATCTTACAAGATAACAAGAAGTAAGTCATTTTTTTTGTAGTAATTATTTAGTTTGGTATGGATTTTTGTTTTTAAGTTTAGTAATATGTTATCACTTTTGCCAAATTATATTAAATTTAAGTGAAACTGATATAGTGGTCCATAAGAAAGAAAAAAAAAGGGTCATTTGTTCATTTCAAAACACAAAGATACACACAATGTGCTATTTGTGCTGTGCCCATCTCGGGTATCGAAACATAATTTTTATGTGTGGCCTGGCATGGCCAGGTGGTTAGGACGCTCGACTCGCAAAAATGTTTTTGAATTTCGCGCAAAGCTACACGAGGGCTATCTGCGCTAGCCGTCCCTAATTTAGCAGTGTAAGACTAGAGGAAAGGCAGCTAGTCATCACCAACTACCGCCAATTGTTGGGCTACTCTTTTACCAACGAATAGTGGGATTGACCGTCACATTATAACGCCCCCACGGCTGAAAGGGCGAGCATGTTTGGTGTGACGGGGATTCGAACCCGCGACTCTCAGATTGCGAGTCGAGTGCCGTAACCACCTAGTCAACACCACCCACCGCCAACTCTTGGGCTACTCTCTTACCAACGAAAAGTGAGATTGATTGTCAAATTTTAACGATCTTTGGATAAAAAGAGCGAACATGTTTAGTGATGGGGATTAGAACTCGCAAGTCGCAGATGGCGGATCGAGTGCTCTAACCACAAAGCTTTACCAAACAGTTCATTCTATGTTATGTTCTCCATGCTCCATTTTATATTATGTATATATTTGAAAAGTATAGCAATAAATATGAATAACAATATTGTTATTCCCCATGAAATGTAACAATATTTTAATTCCCCATGAAATGTAACAATATTTTCATTCCCCATGAAATGTAACAATATTTTCATTATGAGATGTAACAATATTTTCATTCCCCATGAAATATAATAATATTATCATACCCCATGAAATATAGCAATATTTTCATTCCCCATGAGATGTAACAAATATTTTCATTCCCTATGAAATATTATCATTATTATATTTTAGATAATACTGTAGCTAATTCGATTTCTTCAATACTGCTACATATATATATATATATATTTTCTATTCACTATGATTTAATTATGAAGTAAAAATCGAGAACATTAAGACACCTTACCTTCTAATTTGTACGGATCATTGTTATGGAAGTGCGTCTTCGATATATATTTACGGCTGAAAACGCTGCTAACAATTAAATACTGTACGTAAACTTGGTCACTAAGTTTTTGGTTACTTTATCTATTTTTACATACAAAGATTGTGTGTACGTATATAGATGCGTAGCAAGTGTGTATTGACTTTATTGGTGTGGCTACTTGTAGGTAATAGATTTTATAGATCGGAAAGTTGGGATTATCAAAGTAAAACTACATACAATCATAGATATGCAAGTATATAATTTAAATAAAATAATTAGATCTAATTTAGAGCGCGTCACATACACAGTCATGAATGAGGCCAATCATAAAGCTATAAGGCTATGTTCTATGGCTATTTGTTCTGGTTTGATTGACCCGCCTTATAGCTTTATGTTCTGAATTGATTGGCATGTTCTATGGCTTTATGGCCTGGTTTGATTGCCTTATAGCTGTATAGTCTGGTTTGATTGACCTGCCTTATAACTGTGTGTTCTGACTTGATTGACCTGTCTTATAGCTTTATGTTCTGATTTAATTGGCATGTTCTATAGCTATTTGTTCTGGTTTGATTGACCCTCAATCAAACCAGAACAAATAGCCATAGAACATGCCAATTAAATCAGAACATAAAGCTATAAGGCAGGTCAATCAAGTCAGAACATACAGTTATAGGGCAGGTCAATCAAACCAGACTATACAGCTATAAGGCAGGTCAATCAAACCAGGCCATAAAGCCATAGAACATGCCAATCAATTCAGAACATAAAGCCATAAGGCGGGTCAATCAAATCAGAACGTAAATTCCATAAAACAGATCAATCAAACCAGAGCATAGATTAATAAGGACGGTCAATAAAACCAGAACATAAAGCTATAAGGAAGGCCAATCCAATCAGAACATAAAACCATAAGATAGGTCAATATAACTAGAACATAAAGCCATGAGGCAGGCCATCAAACTAGAATATAAAGCCATAAGACAGGTCAATAAAACCAGAATATAAAACCACAAGGCAGGCCATCAAACTAGAACATAAAGCCGTAAGACAGGACAATCAAATCAGAACATAAGGTAAAGAAATAGTATTCGTTTTGGTTATTTTAAAGCACCGTTTCCTCAACTCAGACTGAATTATTTCTTTTATTCTTTGGTTAGAAGCACAAGATAAATATTACTTGGTCTACTTGGGAACTGTGAACTGAGGAATAGAAAAAAGAACTTAAAAAATAGATTGCTATCGTGCATCACACTAACCTCTTTAATACTACACAATCGGGAGGCCGCAATATTACTTTCTTTAAAGTTCCATCGAAATCCTAGAAATAGAGAAGAGCGGGATAAAATGTGAGGGAAAGAAAAAAAGGGGGGTGGGGTGGTTGATAATCTACTCTAATCCCAAATATTCGCTCGAGCTTACATTGCATTTAATATCACGTTGGAAGTTTCCAGGTTTCTTTCCTTGATCAGTCAGTTTCATGTCATTGACGGTTCCATTATACCCAGCTCTCTTTGTTGACTGGTAGTTTAAACATATTACGTTGAAATGATGTGAGATCTTGATTTAGTAACGATCGGATTAGAGAATTAGATAGATTTAATAAATCACCTAATATATATATATATAGTGAGATAGATAATCTTCCATTTCTGTACATTTAGTTAGAGAGGTTTTTGCTGTTTAAAACGATAATTACATATATTTTTAGTGGTTGTAACAAGAAGATTCATTAGTCAGCTAACTCTCTGTGGCTTCTTCAAGTTCTTTTCCACTTATTCTGCAGTTTATATTATCTTGGCTGACATTGATGCCCTGGTGGACTTCGCACGTTACATGGGAAAACAAGAACTATTGGACGACGGCAAGTACGTCATCATATGTGTAGAAGATAAAGAGGTTTATGATCCTGCCAAATCACAACAGTATCTAAAGAAGGGTTAGTACGATCAAAAGTTTAGTTCTCCTCTGCATATGGTGGATAAAAAATAACAGACTGTTAATTCATTTTTTAAGACTATTTTGATCGTTTAACAAAACAAATCGAGGCCCTCTGGTAGTGAACAAATTGTCTAGATATGTAACAAGTGTTCTAAACTTAAATGTAAACTAAAATATAGTGTACATAATACATAGGATATTTTATATTTATTCAAGTATTCAAAATCACTGCGGATTCACTGCTTAAATAAAGGGTAATACAAACATGTAACATAAAGACGAAACTTACGTTGAACGCAATTGAAGTAGTGAATATATATGTCAAAGATAAATCCTACATTTCTCTAACACAGCATGAGCGATTTGGATAATATAAACTTGATTTTTTGTATTATTTTTGTGTTTATTTCAAGTGTATTCGGATCATGATATACATGTATATCAATGAGTATATAAAGCGACAATTTTCTCACACGGTACTGTTACGACAGCGGAAGTCACGTGACGCTGGTAACACGTGATCAGTTTCTAGAAGTATCGTGAATTGTCCTGGCAACTCTAGTCTTTTCCAGGCACCCTCTATTTTAGTATATAAGCCCGGCAAATAATTGCAAATAGATAGATATAGAGACAGATAATTGAGTCAAGCGAGCAGTAGTGACGGTAATATAAAGTGTGTGTTTTGTTATCGAGATTGCAAACTTATTGACTGTGGAAATTCTGTGTATTGCAAAGTTGTATCGAGAAAGAATAAACTAGTTTTAATTAAGAATGGAAATTAACAAACAAGCAGATACGCAACACTATTAAGCCTAACCAAGTTATTTGACATAAGTATGAATAATCTGTAATGTTATTTATTCCGCGAGAGAACAGTATATACACTATCCTACCAAAAGTCATGTGACACGGGTAGTTATGAATAAAACATGACTTTATTTCAAGCAATTAATAGCGTCTTGGCCTGCCTTTGGTCTTAATGACTGATTCAATGTGTCGTGGAAGACTGTCTACTAATTTCTGGTAGAAAGCTGGTGGTATTGTACTCCACTCCTCCTTTAAAGCATCAGTAAGCTCCACTACTGAATAGGGCCATCTTGGTGTTGCCCTAATTCTGCGTTCCAGTTCATCCCAAAGATGTTTTATCGGGTTGAGGTCTGGGCTCTGTGCTGGCCACTGCAATGTTCCGATGTTATTCTCTTCAAACCACACGTTCACAATCCTTGCTTTGTGACATGGAGCATTATCATGTTGGAAGGTGTAAGGACCGGCAACATAAAATTGTCACAATGTAGGACAAACAGAATTGTTCAGAACATCTATGTAGGACTCAGCATTCATGGATCCCTGACCTGCGACAAGAAAGACTGCGACTGTAAAATAAATCTTCAAAGCTCCTGAAACTTTTTTGTGACAGAACCAGTTTTCTAGGTTAATTTTGCTAATGATCAAATATGTCTGACTTTTTCAATATGAGGCTGAATGTACGGCTTACTTTACTGTGGTGTTCTCAGGTTTATGTTTAAAATATAATCATGATTAAGAAGCACATCTATGGAGCTTCCACCCTTAGAGTGGAGGTGTATGATGTACCAAAAAAAAAGAGTACAATTCACTGGTAAAATATGCCTTGAAAAAACAAACAATACTCAATAATTTATTGAGTAGTGTTTATCAGCAAGTATAACCTAGAGTGATCCTTAAATTTTTAAGGTTTAAGTTAAATATATCCTTAGAATAAGGGATTATTTTGTGTTTAAACGCAGAATTGGTAAGACAAACCACTCGAAATTCATCTACATGTATCACTGCTCTGGGTTTTAGAAAGACTGGTAGATGGAATTTTACCACAGTCTGAGAGTAGGTTGGTATTTGGAGGTGTTACAGCTATTCAGTTAAAAGTTTAAAATTATTGAATTGTCGAAAATGACTTGTCTCAAGAATCAAAGAGACTTTGGCCACTTTTATTCGAAATAGAATTCAGTGGATTACTGTTAGGTTATTCTTAAGAAGTGTAACTGTAATGAACAAGGATATCTGGCGAAATGGTGCTTAATTATACTGATCACTTATCTGTTAGGAAACTGTGCAGGGAGCTGATATATAAAGAACTGATTCCCTTGGTATAAAATTCAATGTAAATGACTTTAAGCTCTCATTTGGTTAGGAGAAAATACATATGTATAGTTAACCTTTAAAATGTTAAAAAAAACATAAATATTTCAAAACATAATTCGGAAGGTGAAACAAAAGCAGAAAGAATGAGAAGTGAATCATAGAAGGAAAGGGCAGCAAAGCTAAAAGCTGATAATTAGAAAAATGGAGGAAATAAATAAATCAAATGAAGAATGAGAAGTAAGGCTTGAAACTGAAAAGAGTTAGAAGAGCTGAAATTCGTGTACAAGAATCTGATGAATTAAGAAATGACAGGCTTGACAGAGGCAGCTGTAGTAAGAAGTTTGAGAGAAGCTGAAGAGGAAAGAGAGAGAGAGAGAGAAGAAGGCAAGGATTAGATCTGGCAGCTCATCACCATGATTCTCAATGTGGTATATCAAGAAGCTTCAATTTAGATTGTGTAAATTTTGGTTTGAAAATCGAAAGTTCAGATAAAAATTAAAATGTTATGAAAATTGTATTTTTTAAATGTTCATAAAATAAATTTCTTTGTGTTTCTAAACGCATCTTTCAAGTAATTTGGACACCTGTGCAAGGAATGGATAATTCAGCTAGTATACAATAATAGTGTAGTAATAATAATAATAATAGTAATAGTAACGTAAAAAATAGAACAATGAAAACGAGCTCATTTTATTTGTTAGAAGTATTTTAATTCTAAAATTTATCAGTTTGTAGGCACTCGTAATTCTTTTGTTTTTCATGGCTCATTAGAGAAAAAAAAAACAAAAAGAAAGTTAAATGATGTTTTAAGAACTCGTCGCCGGCCGGATTAACCACCTTGACGGCCGGACATTGAACATGCTTGGCCTATACTATAACTTAATAATAACCACTGTTTGTCATCACCAGTGTTTCGGACGTTAATGAGACGTTTCTTCTGTTTTAATAAGGACGGTGGTTGGAGCTGGAATTCGATCCTGGATCATGTTGTTAGAAAGAAAAGCAGATGGGTTGCCAACTCTGTTTAGACGTTTGTGGCTTAAATCCAACTCGGTAAAGTTAAACAAATGTTTAACTGTGAATGTCTCGTGACTGACACAACTAAATTTTCTGTAGGTATTCTACACCCCCACACGTGTAACATCAAGACTCCAAACTTGTATAGTACCAGCTTTGTTAATGAACTTGATGAGGGCCTTCTGTTGTTTCTTTTTCACGTTTCCAGAAGCAACAGCTCACTCCAGAAAAAAAACAACAACACAAAAACATTTAATGTTATGTGTAGGAACACAACACACGACTACTAAATAGTTTACTCCATGCCATAGATAGGCAAAGAA